GTGGATTAATGTGCAACTAGATGCATTTGTCTTTTCTTGGTTACCTGTACTATGAAATGATTCTTTTAAAAGGGCATTTTGCTCAGACTTCGAAGTTCCTGCACAATAAATCTTGACGATGCACTCCTTTCTGATGTTGGTCTCGATGTTATCATCGAAAACAGCCTAACATTGGATGCCTACATTGAAAAGTAATGTGAAGGGTTAACCGGCCGTATTGAAGACTTGCGTAAAATTCGGCACTGTTTAAGTCTACTCGTATATGTAAGAATGCTTGTACTATGGTACGTTTCAGACCAGTAAACGAGAACAGTTGCGTTGTTAGGGCAATACAATTAATACTGGCGGATCCAGAAACTCATTTTTGGTACGGCTCACCTAGATCTGTTTCAGATACATTTGCTTGTAAGGTTAGCCCCAATCCATGTTATAGTATTTTAACAGCATCTGCTGTCTCCTGTTGTTGCAAGGCCAAAGTGCCCCGCACAGAGTTAAAAATTATTCAAAACGACCGAATTTGAGGGCCTTTAGCTCAGCTCAAAAACCAGAGTTTTCTCCCCAAACCGCTCAAATTAAATGGCAGAGAATCGGTCAAGAAAGATCAGCTCGACCGTGAAAACGGGGTTTAAAACTGATGCTTATGCCCGTACTCCAACTAAGGCCCAGTACATATGCTAACTAGAATGTGTAACCAACAAATCTACCAAATGACTTGGCCCAGTACATATGCTAACTAGAATGTCTAACCAACAAATCTATTATATGACCTGGCCCAGTACATATGCTAACTAGAATGTGTAACCAACAAATCTACCAAATGACTTAGCCCAGTACATATGCTAACTAGAATGTCTAACCAACAAATCTACCAAATGACCTGGCCCAGTACATATGCTAACTAGTATGTGTAACCAACAAATCTACCAAATGACTTGGCCCAGTACATATGCTATCTAGAATGTGTAACCAACAAATCTACTAAATGACCTGGCCCAGTACATATGCTAACTAGAATGTGTAACCAACAAATCTACCAAATGACTTGGCCCAGTACATATGCTAACTAGAATATGTAACCAACAATTATATTAAATGACCTGGTCCAGTACATATGCTAACTAGAATGTGTAACCAACAAATCTACCAAATGACTCAGCCCAGTACATTGAACATATTTCTTAATGAAC